TCTGCTCGAAAACGAAAGCACATGGAACTCCGAGCAATAGCCTCGTTTGCATGCAAAGTCCGAGTTCAGGATCTGGGAACAATAATGAAGCGAACGTGATCAAACGAGCGAAGGCACCGTAGTTTTTCGCTTGTTTATGTCTCACCAAAGTGAAACTTTTACAAATTAAAATCCTTTTCACAAAATAGTTTATATTTCACTAGCTTTGTGCGGTCAGGGCGCATCACAGGCCCGGTAAGTATTTTTATAATGGGCCATTTCGTAGCTTTATGCGCCATACGCGCATGGCACACGGCCTTCCTAATCCCTGGTTGCTTAACAACTCTATCTGATTTCATTTGACAGCACCTCCCGTATTTGAAAACAACCGCGGAAATGTCCCCCTACAGTTGTTTGGCCATCCCTTTTCAATCTCTAGTAGTGAAACTCGACATTGTATACATGGATCTACAAAGGTTGGTTACAATTACAGTAAATGAATTAGCAAACATTCAAATTTAAGGTAAAAAAAGAGGTCAATCGAGAAATGATAACGGAAACTGAAAGTCAATAGGTTGAATTAAAGCTTATTCAAATGGACTGATTAATTTTCTGTTTACGAAGATCAAAATGTGACAGGAATTTTAAGTTATATGTTTCATTAGCAATTTACCCAAAGAAATATGAAGAGGAAGGGTGTTGACAATAGTAGTGAAGTCAGTGAAAATCCCAGATGATATCGCTGCTGGGAAAAGAATGTAATTTCATTTTGCCCTCGTGGAAAACACCTGTATTAAAATTTTCTGTACCAATTAGGATGCCCGAGGAAGTAATACCTGCAAGAGTGACTACGCTAAGGTACACGACTAAGTTCCTGTCAGATAATAGCTTGGTGATGGCTAAGAGGGCTATTCTAAGAGAAATCAATGCCAAATCGAAGAACAACTTAAGGTTTAGTTTCCGTACTTCGACTCGGTTCCACGTAAAGATCCCGTTAAGCTCATCTCATGTCAACCACCCTTTCGGGGACTCGTCCACTCGTCCACGATAGGACAATAAGTCGATAAACGTGTAGTTGACAAAATCTACGACCTTGTAAAGTAAAACATAACCAACCTTTTTGAGGTGCAAAGGTCTCTTGATAAATATGTTCGAGAGGTTCAATTTTTGGCCATCCCGAGGAGCGAAAGCCAAAGAAAACAAATAGGCGATACTACCCTTGTCGCCAGGACTTGCGCAACCACATTGCCAAGGCGATTTCAGAAGTGAAGTATTGCGATGACGACCAAGAAGCATTGGGGGAAAAAATAGAAGATTGGCAAACTAAGTCTCCCAAAAGCAACTTCTTTTACCGAACCAGAGAAGCTGTCATTGACGAAAAAGATGAACCAAGGCCTAGAACTGCTGAGGAAACCTTGCTCTTTGTACATCAAGAGCCATGGCAACAACAAATGCTTGAATGATATGGTAGTGAACCGGCCCTGATGGACGCCACTTACAAAACGACAAGGTGCACAATTCCACTTTTTTTCGTTTGTGTACATACCAACGTCGGACATGAGGTTGTGGCTGAATTCATGTGCCAGTCCGAAGATCAAGCCTCTATAAGTGAAGCACTTGCCATAATCAAGGGATGGAACCCAGCGTGGAATCCGGCCTACCTCATGGTGGATTATTCCAATGCAGAAATCGCTGCCCTCGAACAACAATTCCCCAAAAGTTTGGTGTACATTTTTTATTTCCATAGATTACAAGCAATGCACCGCTGGTCCAAGTCAAAGAAGAATGGCCTTTCGTCTGCTGAGCAGGAGATATTTTTAGAGCATATGAAGAGCATCACCTATGCTAACACAGTAGACAAATTCGAAAAGCAAGTGAGCGCCTTGAGAGAATCCCGGCTTTACAAAGACAAACCAAATGTTGAGAACTATATAAACAACACGGGGCTATCATGCAAAGTTCGTTGGGCACAGGCTTTTCGAAAGCAGCAGGAGACAAACATAGTTAACACCAATAACGGCACTGAGGCGCAAAACAAGCTGTTTAAGTACGAATATCTTCCGAGATCAGTTGGCAAATCGGTTTATGGCATTGCAGCAATACTGGTAGAATCGTTCATTCCTGACTCTCACGGAAGATATTTGGTAAAGAACCTCAAGTTCAGCGATGAATATGGAAGATATAATTCTAGGATACCGACTTATCTTCACAACCGACCACCACAGTTTGTTAAACACGGTTTGGACAGTAGATTTGCTGCTGGTGAATTCACTGAAGCCGACATCTCATCCGTTAACTTTCAGAAAGGCTAATTCAGCGTGAAAAGCGTAGCCAACGTAAACAAAAAGGAGCTAGTGGATTTTTCCTATCCTAGTTCCACTTGTGCTTCCTGGCAAAAAAGTAAATACCCTTGCAAACATTTCTTTGCAGTGTTTGCCCGCCACTCTCTGTGGCGATTTGAATCTCTACCCCATTAGTACAGGAGCAGTGTATTCATCTCTCTTGATCTGGATCATTTGATTAGTAATAAGCATGACAGTAATGCACAGAATTGTGGCATTTCTCAAGGTACAGCTAAATCATCATCATCCTCCGACGGCCGTCCAAGGTTAGCCAACGCCTCTGGCGATGAATCGATGGACTGCGAACAAGCAGAAGCAGAATCTGAGGAGAAGTCAGCAGAAGCAGAATATTTGGAGAAGTCAGATATTGAGTTACCCAATAATAGTCCCAATGGCACCACTACGACTTCTACAGTTGAAAAATTGAGAAAATGGTTTCTTGATAAGATCGATACCTTCAAGAATACCACGTATTTGGTAGATGATGAAACCACGATGTCAACAGCTTTAAAACAACTGAAAAATATTCAGCTAATGCTACATAAGAGCTGTTCTTCAACGCATGGTATTCCTTTCAGAATAAGCCCAGTCAAGGAGAAGTTAAAGATCACGTCAACGGAATACCATCTAGTATTTCACAAGAAATTTCCCCTTAGACGGCGCTGGAAAAAGAAGA